TGAAGTATCTAAAGATTATACAGCGATAAAATTATATAAAAATATGAAATTTAAATTATTCTTAACTGTTAATGAATAAAATAAAATAATAAAATATAATAAAATTGTGAAGTTGAATTAAAATAATAGTAATAATAATAATAATAATTTCTCTCGTAAAAAAGAGAAAAAAAAAAATTCTTTTGTTTAAAGAAAAAAAAAAAATTTAAGATTATCGTAATTAATGCTATCGCTATAAACTATGGTAAAGAAATTCATGGTCTGCACTATGCAGATTATTGTAATGCGTATAACGCGTGTTATATTTCTGTTTTGGTGATTCTAGTTACACCATATAATTCCATTATCTTTGTTCGTCCTACCAATGTTTTACTTATTTATATGTGCATAAATTTCGATTTATTTATAAGTAGAATCTATTTTCTATATCGAGGAGACGCGCTTAAGTTGTCGGAACGGAAGCCTAAGGTGTTCAATATTATTTTATGAATTTAAAATAGTACCATTGCATCAATCTATTAACACTTAGATTTAACCATGTTAGAGGTAAGTCACGTAAAATGGTTTTCGTTCGTTAAAAAAAGTGGATCGTTTTTGTTTTTTTTATTACTTTATTTAATAAACAATGATTATAAAACGTTTAATAGCAGGACTTTTCTAAAGTAGCCGATAAAGAAATTAACGAGGATAAAGACCTAGAAGCACTTATCGAACAATTTAAAAATGATCCGCTTGGAGAATACTCGGGAAATGATATCGATCTTGTAGAGGTAAATACGCAATTTTCGACCCTGGAAGTTCATCAAGGCGAAAGAATTGATGAAACATTCTCTTATGTATAAAATCATGGTTAATAGAAAAACCAAAGTATCATTTGATTTAGGAAAACAAATCTAGATAATTAACAGATTGATCATAAAAATCAGGTCGCCAAAAGAATACGACTTGGCTTAGAGTATGCAACGTTTAAAGTCAGAAATGGCTGGGAAAAATACGATGTCGCAACTTGTGAAATTTTATTTGAAGAGAAAATGCGCATAAATGCAATTCCTGTTTCGAAGATATTAGAAAGGATTAAAAATGGTTTACCAACTCGTGAATATGAATTACCAGTGGATCCACAATCTAAAGTGTCCAATAATGGTTCAAGTGATAAAGTGAAATCTACAAACTCGTTACCAAAATTAACAGAAATGGATGTAAATTTTGATATCGCAAACGATACGCTTTCTCACCGTAATTTTCAAGATTCTTTTCGACTTTCCGGTTCATCCAGGCTTTCTGGGTCGAAGGCTGCCGCAATATATGAATATTTAGATTCATTAGAAATGGCGTCACAAGATTTATGCATTAATCAAGATCCTGTATCATCTTTGTTAACTACAAATTCACAATTTATTGGTTCAGGCAATTTCCAAGATTTGAGACAATCATTTTCGGAGACAGCATCATTACGATCTATTGAACCAAGCAAATTAACCACTAACAAATCTATAAAATCACGAGATCAGTATTCGAAACATAAACGAAGCCGATCACACAGAGCTAATGATAAATTTGATTTAATCAATAGACAGTCAATTAATGATCCTCTTCCAATATTAAATCAAATGGAATCAAGTACAGGATTGCTATGTCCGCCACCTGTTTTAATCCCACTCACTTCCAAGATTCCTGAACCAAGTCATACAAATAATCACGTGATCTCCTCGAATCCAGTTGTTTCAGAAGTTATTTTAAAAGCATTGGAGGAAAAGACTAAAAAAAAGAAATCAAGGAAGAGAAAATCAATTACCATGACTACCAGAAAAGGGAAGAATAAACGTCAAAAACCGACACCTCATTTAACAAATGAGGATGTTGAGATGGATGATTTCTTTGGTGCTACGGAAAATAGTTTGCGTAATATGAACTCTTCTAAGCAGACTTTAATGTCACAAAAAGCTACAGTTTCACCAAATACTTTATTTCATGAACTCTGGGCAACAGCAAGTTCTGTTGTCCCACAAAAGACGGCTTCGACTTCCATGTCTCCAGGACAATTATTCAATGAACTTTGGGCAACTTCAAGTGTTGCACAGAAAAACAATACCGGAGCAGAATCAACACTTGCAACTTCTATATCACCTGATACATTTTTTGATGAACTTTTAGCTGCAAGCACTTACGAAGATGACGAAGATGAAAAAACACCTAAAGATAGTACTGCAGAATCTACTCAAACATTAGTTATGTCACCCACTACTATTTTCAGAGCTGCATTAGATGATTGGGCAGCTGTTGACTCCAATTTTCCCAATGCAATACTTTCACATTTACCTAATTTGCCATCATCCCCTTTGGCGTCGTCTCCACCACATACACCTTCAAGATTATCGTCAACTGTTCCAACACTTAACTCGATAGCGTCATCTTCAGCAAGGGTAATTACTGACCACCTTGAACCTCCAAGAACTCCTCCACATCAAATTCGTTCTGCAATTGATTTATCGACGCCAAACTCGGCATTCTCATTGAGCGAATTTATTAACATGTCTCCTACACCAAAATAGAATGCTCTGTGTGACAATGATACATAGTACGATACAATAAAAAAAAATCCAAATGTATAAAAGTAACATCGGACACATTTCGTTGATAATTGATCTCAATCGATCATCGCTTCGTCATGCCATGTGTCAAAATTGTGTAAAATATGCGCGAAATAAAAATTGAACTTCTGTTGTAGACATTGCATATTGGTGTAATGATTTCTCATACTGTGATTTAGTGATTTTAAATTTTTCAATGGATTAGTTAGCAAATTAATTGCGAATAAGTTATTACTTAATTATATTGGTTAATTTATAATCATATGATTTTATTTGTATTAATTTAATTTGGTAAAAAAAATTTTTTCTAAAGTTTATTAAGTAGATAATCAAAATGTTAAGTCAAAAATCCATAACAGATAATATAAGAATTTATAAGTTACGTATAAGGGCTTAAAACATTACATTTAAGGGCCTATCATCCGTAGTTAAATGCTAAGGCAAAAAGGATACGTATCATTATTATATAGATGCTAATTGTGTCCGTTATAGGTTTTATACGTACCGAATTTGTTAGGATAAAAATTGTGCTCATTTTCGTTTAAATTAATAATACTAATACATTTTTACGCACTTCATAACATTTCAGGTTATTGATTCAAGCCACAACTTGAATTACGGGGTTTGAGTTTTTGAACTTATCGTTGTGCGCAAAGTTATTTGGGCCTTTATATGTAACGGTAATATTTTTCACTTTTTTGATCCTCAAAATTATATATACAGTCAAAGCTATTTAAACCGAACCCTTCCGGGATTATATGTAAAAATTTTTTAAAATGTTCAGTTTATAAAGAGTTGGACCCAAGAATGCGCTGCTCCAGGACATGCCCGAACTTATTAATAAATTTTATAAATGTTCTACAGAGTTTATCAAGTTATCAGTTTAACCAGGTTCCGTTTAGAGAAAGTTGACTGTATGTTGTAGGTGGATTCAGATTTGGAATCCACTTAAGTGGATACCGAATTGATTTTGGATACTAAACTATCGAAACTAGTGATGGGACGGCATTAATTTTATTATCAAAATGCATTTACATAGTTTTATACTAGGGATGGATCAGGTCCTAGAAAGACCATATTAGAATCTGATCCCACGGTTAACCGGTCCCTGTTCTTGTGACTAGTTAAAACCGGTCTTAAATTTTTTTTTTTTTTTAAATGCTGACTATTATGCATTACTATGAAAATATTTTTCGAAAGCGTTACTTTGTTACATGATATAACTATTTACCTTTTATTTTTCATTGTCGCTTATCTAACCTGTATATTTATTAATTATTTTTGTATTCGCATATTACTAATTTGGAGCCTTATTTATTCAGAATCGCATTGATGAATAACTAAAGGATAGATACAATTTTCGGGACTATGACGCGTGGCATGATCATTAAATTAAAAGTTGATGGATGACTGAGGGTGTAATGGAATCACAAGTTTCATATATATAAGTTTGAAGTAAACAACGGCATTGGGGGGAACGTCCTAAAGTTAAATGAAGTGATACTGTGTTAGGGAGAGAAAAGTTGTAGGTAAAGGCGTTAGTAGTATATAGTTAAATGGTAGGAGGTTGTTCTGAATAAAGTGCATTGTTCAATTGCGGAAGAAAATTGCTTATATATATAACAAAATATCTGTACATAGAATAGAAAGGTATATAAGCATTCTTTTCTCTAATAATATTTTCAAACTTTAACCTATAATAAAAATAAAATTACTAGACAATTAAATCGAAGCACTTTACTATTTGGAAAATTCGAATTATCAAATCCTATCTTTACTAATATTTAATGTGTATAACTTATTGTTTTCTCTTTAAATTAACCAATAAAATTTTATTATTTGACCCTACTTTTTGACCCTAAACATATATAACCCTACCAACATATAGAATAAAATGCGCGAACTTTAACCCTAACTCTAACCCTAAAATATAAACAAATTTATACGCGTCTTATATTTCTTATAGACACGTCTAATAACCAATAAAAATACGTCTAATATTTTTATATATAAAGTCATTTTTAATCAATCAAATTTCATTTTTATCTCTAAATTTTGATCCTAAGTAAATATAACCTACTAACATATAGAATAAAATGCGTAAACTTTAACTATAACTCTAACCCTAAAATATAAACAAATTTATACATGTTTTATATTTCTTAAAGACATGTCTAATAACTAATAAAAATATGTCTAATATTTTTATATATAAAGTCATTTTTAACCAATTAAATTTCATTTTTATTCCTAAATTTTGACCCTAAGTATATATAACCTACCAATATATAGAATAAAATGCGTGAACTTTAACCCTAACTCTAACCCTAAAATATAAACAAATTAATATGCTCTTATATTTCTTATAGACACGTCTAATAACTAATAAAAATACATCTAATATTTTTATATATAAAGTCATTTTTAACCAATTAAATTTCATTTTTATCCCTAAATTTTGACCCTAAGTATATATAACCTACCAACATATAGAATAAAATGCATGAACTTTAACCCTAACTCTAACCCTAAAATATAAACAAATTTATATGCGTCTTATATTTCTTATAGACACATCTAATAACCAATAAAAATGTGTCTGGTATTTTTATATATAAAGTCATTTTTAACCAATTAAATTTCATTTTTATCCCTAAATTTTAACCCTAAGTATATATAACCTACTAACATATAGAATAAAATGCGCGAACTTTAACCCTAACTCTAACCCTAAAATATAAACAAATTTATACACATCTTATATTTCTTATAGACACATCTAATAACCAATAAAAATGCGTCTAATATTTTTATATATAAAGTCATTTTTGACCAATCAAATTTCATTTTTATCTCTAAATTTTGACCCTAAGTATATATAACCCTAACTCTAACTCTAACCCTAACCCTACTTTTTAACTCTAAACATATATAACCTGCTAACATATAGAATAAAATGCGCAGACTTTAACTCTAACCCTAACTCTAAAATATAAACAAATTTATACGCGTCTTATATAACATATAGACACGTTCTTTAACCAATAAAAATATGTCTAGTTTTTTTATATATAAAGTCATTTTTAACTAATAAAATTTCATTATTTGACCCTACTTTTTGACTCTAAACATATATAACTCTAACCCTAACCCTAACTCTAACCCTATACCAAAATTAACCTAACCCAGTATATGACTAGCTTGCTAACTTTCTGATTACAGAGGAAATGAAACCTAATACCAAACTCCAAACCAAGTTATCATTTCAACTCTTCAACTTTTTCAAAGAAAACCTCTCTAACTTTACCCTAAACAAATATTGTTCAAATATTTTATTCATACTATAGCTGGCCAAAGACCTGAGTTCTTAACAGAACTCATTTACTAAGCAAATTCTGATATTAACTCAGAGATAATGATTTAATTTGACCTTATCGAATCAACTTTAAAGGACCTATTACTAAAATTCATTACAATTTTATTTACTAAAATGAATTACAGAGAGATTTTTGTATCTCCTATTACTATTCCTCACACAAAATCCAAAACTATCTTCAAATTTGCTTAAACATAGCATGACTCTATCTCTACTTAACCAACAACTTCCAATCTATTGACTACAAAAAATTCAACAAAGACTTTAAACTTAGACCAAAAAGGTTTAAAATTAACTCCAAAATCGAATGTTTTGACCAAGAAAAATAATACTTCACTATCTCTTCAGATCTAAGATTTAATATAAACATACTATTCAATCTCCCTAAAACTCTTTTTCTTGATAACTTTAATATTCCTTCACTAAAAAACTCTGTTGATAACCTTAGCAAATGGTTCAAAAAAATCTTTCCAGCATACTCTCAACAATTCGATAGCCCTATTTATAAACAAAAAACCTTTATCTATCTTAAACACTAAATTAAACAATATTTCATTCTTTATCTAGCTAAACTTTTATCTGAAAAATACAAAATAAAAAAACCTAACTCTTGACATGAACGCCAAACAGAAGCAACTCAATTCTCAAATCACTATATCCTTATATGTACTAACAAAATCTGTAAATATCTTAAAACAGTAACTACAACAGACAAACCAGATACTGACAAAGAAAAGGAGAAAAAGAAACAAACTATACAACATGACTCTGACTGACTATAAAGCAGTTCTGAAATACTCAGAAGTTGCTTTCTCACCTAATGAAAATGAATAGTAGAGACTTCTACCTATAGATACTTCTATCTTCTATATTAAAAGAGAACACGAAACTACTCTAAAAACCAAAATACCTACTCAACTCTTTGATGAGTTAGCTGATCAAGCAGAAGAATATATATGCAAAGCTAACAATATTAAAACAAATACTAAACATCAAAACTATAATTTTTACTAATATTTAACAGCTTATCATAACCATGCTGCACAAAATCACAAAATTAATCTTCTCAACAAAAAACATGCTATCGATTACTTAACTGAACAACTAATCAATACACACTTCTTAGCATATATAATTACATATTATAATACTATACTTGACAAAACACCAACATATAAAACAATAACTGAATTTTATAAAACAATAGCTATATCATAGGCTGAAAAAATTCTAAAGAAAAATTCAATATCAACTTCAATACAGTAGAAATATTAAACTCTCTATTCCTAGAAACTAAACAAACTCCTCCTTTTCAGTAAGCTTGTCTTCTACAATTCCACTAATTTCTCATAACCCTGTAGAAGACAATCGCATAGTAGTCCTACCACTTATATAACTGAAACAACAAGAACTACTTCCATGCTACAATAAATTTTTAACATACTACAACCTTCCTCCTATACATAATAACCAAACTATTAAATCCTTTCTTGATTACCTAAAATCCCACAAGTTTAACCACAGGACAATATTTTCCTTTAACTTTAAACTTGGTAAAGCATATATATATACTTCTAATAATCTA